ATGAGTTGCACGTTGCACAAACATCCGGCTCAAAACACCGAATGACCGGCTTAGATGACAATCGATATTTTCAATAGGTCAGCTAGAAAATCGATAAATAATGTAGGTACCTAGTTTACACGTGTAACAGGTAACACTCCTCGTAAAACTATATGCGTATTGAAAATTTAAATAATACTTACCTATGGAGAAATGTGGTTAAAGAGCACGACGTGACTGTTAGCGCACTAAGCACAGATTTGGCAACACGCGTGGATAGTTTACACGAAATCTATGAATTTGTTTGATTGTTGTTTAACACGAATTGTTTACTTGGCTTTGCACGAATTGTTTAACTTTATGATAAAAATAATAATCGTGTGAGGTGGAATGTGGATTGGCATGCAAGAACAGAATTAAAGACAAGTAGCGCAGAGCAATCATACAAGGTTGTATGGCTAAAAATAATGCAAAATCTTGGGTAAAATAAAACCCTTAGTTGGCAGCCGGTTGATGGTGGCGGGCTGGCGGGCTGGCGGGCGAGTGAACGCGGCGACCTTGGGCCCGTGCCGGCCCGCGGACGTTCGTTGAACGCGCCGCGTCCCGCGCACCACCGCGCGCCCCGCCCCGCCCCTCGCCGCCACCACAACTCGTTTGCGACAACATTATTTGAAAATATTTCAAAATATCAAATAAAAAACTGACCGTCTTCTAAAAGCTTTGTGCTCCTAGTGTCCCTACTCTGCCCTAGAAACTCTCAGTTAACGCGCAGAACCAATCTCCACAATGTCATCGATCTCTATTTCGATTAACATTGTCTAGTTCGCAAGAGTTCACTAATCTCTTTATCATACGAGTGCGTATCTACGGCGTATTATCGCTGTATTTATTTATCTTGTTTCACAATCTACTATAAACATTACAGATGGTTTCTCAGTCACGAGATATCTGTTACGTTACGTTATGCTGACAAAGTGTAACGTGTAACTTACTATAAAGCCCGCAATAACCATCCAAAACAAAAGCGTTTCTACGTTTGGTTCAGTAACACGCATGCGAACATAATAGACTATAAAAATATACCCAAAACAGTGCGTGACGTAGTATTTTGCTGCATTATTTTCGCAATAGTGAGTGCGTGAGGCCCGACTGGGCGCGATGCTGGCCACCGCGAACATTGACCGCGCATGTACGGTCAGCACAACTATCACTGCGAGTAAAATTTAAATATTTCCGTTTATAAGCCTGAGTGCATAATTATCGATTTTATTGCCTATAAATGATCGTACATTTGACAAATTGATTATTTTCATTGCAACATTAATTGGCTCGTTAATGTTTATGAATGAGCGTCTGATTTCATTTTAAATGAGCTTCCAGATTAACACTTCAACTACAAAGTGTTTGTTTGGGTTCTGTCATAAAATTAATGAAACATCTGCATTAACTAAGCCATTGAATTACATTTACTTACTGGCAGAATAAACGAAAGTGATAAAACTGACATTTCTGTCCTTGCCCGACCAGAGGGAGGGAAGCGAGAAAACAACACATTAATTGAATGAATCACTTTTGAGCTTTTGGTGAAAATGGGACTTTACAGGGCAATGAGCTAAACTCACGAGTCCATTCAGTTGAAATTAATGTAATGGTTTGAAAAAACAAATGCTAATGTAAAAGTTACTTTTAAAGTTAGTTTTGGACATTTTCGAAACAAGTTGGGATCCAGGTGAACAGTAACAGCTCACCAAAGCAAACAAAACAACATTTTAAAATAGAATTCCTAAAATCGTTGTAAACTCTCGAAATCTAGGTTGTAGTCGTACACTAAGTAATAAACTCAAGGATGGTGAATTGCAAAAGATGTAATAATCGACTCAAAATACGTAACATTTGAAGAAAACTTCTACACAATGTGCTTTTAAGTTTAAATTCTAATGTTTCTGTAAGTTTCAATGTAAAGAAGCGCGCGGTACAAGTAGGCATTTAAAACTTTTTAAAATTCTGTGCATGTAAGGATGTAAATTGAATAAATGCAGCTTCTTTATTGCAAACTTATTATGACGACTTCATCTAGGATTTATCGTCATCAACATAATCTTGAGTCTTTCTTTAACAGAAATGTTAAGCGCATTCGTGCATACAAACAGGATGTGGAAGGATTTTCCTCGTGCGCGCGCAGAAGCGGCACGTACACACGACTACACATGGAGGTATACGAAACCAGTATAGGTATCATGGTCTTGCGTCGTATGATCTTTCGCATATTCGACGGTCAGTTTATACTGGTTTTCTGTACGTTGATATGAACGTAGGTACAGAGGTACGCGTCAGACGGGTTCTTGCACGTTATTACTGCAAAATTACTTACCCGTCGATTGTAAATGATATGTCGAGGAACTCGTCTTGCCCTTGAATCTTCAAATTAATTTGTTTTCTATAAAGTTTCCAAGAGTTTTAGTTGGGTTTTCGTATTCAATTAAGTGTTTGCAAAATTACTTGTTATGGCTTTAGGATCTGACGAGATAGATTGGTAAATTAGAGTGTAAATTAAAATAATGTTGAAATGCATACTTAGACATTTTTTCGTATATTATGATTAAAGTAAACAAATAAAAACAACTGTTGCTTTCACGATGCATAATGTGTGTTCATGTTTTATATTATGTTCATTTTCGGTAACAAGATAAAAATAACAATGCTTCATTCATAACAACAATAAAACTAAGACGTGACACAGTGAGAACTATTTTGCTATCCTTACTTTTTTATTTTACAAATTAAAAGTATTTCAATTATTTTATTTTATTGCTACTGGCCGTTTGTTTGTTATATTTATTAGCCATTTTTATGGATGACCCACACACCTGCAAAATACACTTGATTTTGCATAAAATATGTGAATGGACGGACTGCTTTGGGGTCCCCAGCTGATGTCGTGCAGGCCCCATACCGGTATAATGTGTTAATACTTCTAGATTAAAATAAATTAATAAATAATCTGAATTTCCTGCTACAACATTTTTTTACTTTCAACTTTTAAGATATTTCGATATTTTCCTTATAGAACAAAAAATTGTTATTCGATGCTATAAATAGAAGGGTAAAATTCCATGATCGGCCTACGACTGCAATGTAGCGGCAAGAATTTAGTATAAAAAGTGAAATCAATGAAAATATAGTTTCATATAAATCAGCATTATGTCGTTTTCGTGTTCAAGAGTCAATTGACGATGATAATTCACGTTCTAACGTCAAACCAGCGACAGCACAGATGTAAGCGATGCGATCTCGCGGCGTCATGAGCCGTATCAGTCACATGAACACTTTCCCCGCATGCACTGCATGAAAGCCACTCAGCACGTTTTGTTGTTAAGGCAATTATCTAAAACGCCATCGAATCCTGTTCACACAAGCACTCTGATTGTAACCATTGTGATGAGTCTAATGGGGCTTCCACAATTCCATACCAACACGAATAGGAGCACTGTGCAAAAACAAGGGAGTTTTGGATTAAGGGATTTTTAGAATCAAATATGTGTGTTTCTGTAAAGCAATAAATATATTTTCAGTCTGTGAACATATAACATGCTATTTAATGTTAATTATTAATGCGAAGTCTTTATTACGGATACTAATGGTTTTTCATCTTAATTATATTATTTGCGATAGCGCGTCCTGAATTCGATAAGGAATGTGTAATAAAAATAGGTAACAATGCTCCCAAAACTATACATAAAATTACTTAAGATAATCATGAAAACATTAAGTTAAATTTACACGAGTACCTCTGTTCGATTAACGACGGCAGCGCCATTCTTAAAAATATCTAAGATGCGTACTAAATTGGGATTATATTTTTTTCATTTGTGAATGATCTTAGGAAATGTTTTTTTCCTCAAATTCACTTGATTAAAGAACAACTTTGACATAAGAACAAGATTTATGGAAAGAAAGTTAGTTATAAAGTTTCAGACGAACACATAACATCACACACATTAATCTAAAAATGCCCAATTACAATGTAACACCCACTTTTCACTATTTACGTTATGAGTCCCATGTAATAGGGGGTGAGCCTATTGCCATAAACCGGGCACAATTCCAGACTCCGTGCTATAACTGAGTTTTTTTTTAAAACGCAGTAATACTTTGCCCGACCCGGGAATCGAACCCGAGAACCGGCAGCCGCACTTGCGACCACTCGGCCAACGAGTTTCAGACGAATTGCAGATAAATTCTTATACTATTCAATTAAAACGATTTAATCGAAACCACTATCTTACATAACTTGCTAAATGTAACTTATTACTACCTACATTGAAACGGGATAGATAAAAGGTTGTTAGATAAGACAACCAACTTGCATGCTACTTGTTTTTCCTATAGTCTCGTCCTCTGAAAACAAATTCGTACGAAGCAATTTTCAGACGGTACATTTCCTAACGATTGTCTAAAAGACGACAATCGCCAAGAATTCAGTAGTCGTTATCTGTTATCACAGACCTATATTGAAACCACTTTCTTTATCAAAGTAAACAATCAGCTATTTTTAAACTGTTGGCCGAAAGCCAAGCCGCGTACTTTCTATATTACCTATCTCTACTCCAAAAATAATTTATTTTTCAAGTGTGTAGTTGCTAGGTTGAAATAAAAATTTATAGCCAATCAGAAACTTGGTAACTTGATAGAATTACGTATCTACTAAGCCAGTCGCTGTGATTAAATAGTCTAATTTTGAAAACAGAATGTCTTCAAGTAGTATTAATCATATCTTATTTTTGACATGCAGCTTGAAAAAACGTTACCGATAGCAAAATACTTAATTAAAAACCGCTGCGAGTTCTGAAACAGTGATTTTTCAATAGAAAGTTCTGGTTTAATCGTAGTATGATTAACAAGAGATGTAACAAGTGGTGCATCGGGGATGCGACGGGGGCAGGGGGTTGCGATCGATAGGGGCTCGTGGGCGTCGGGGGCGCTCGGCGGGGCGCCTCCCACGTCAGCTGGAGCCCGGCCAGCCTGCCTCCAGACCTGACGTAAATAGCATCGATAGGCAGCAGTGTTTACGTCGGAACACGTTTTTGATAAAATTAACGTTATTACAATAATAAAACGTTTGGATTTAAAATAACAGCGCTGAATCATAGGTAAGACTTCTTGATTGTTCAGTTTTCAGCGAATATATTTGATGTTTTAGTGATTTGTGTGGCGTTTATGATTATTATTTAATTAGTTTTGCTGTTGTACGCTGTTTTATGTATGTTAATGCTTAAGTTTTAGTACGTAAGTACTTGAGTTGATAATAAAATAAAATTATATTATGATGTATGCAATATTATTTCATAGCTATGCCTGAAATGCACGTGTTGTTAAAATGTCCTAATTACAAGAAGTTATCCGAGACGTTGAGTAATGAACTAATGACCAATCGATGTTTAACTAAGATTTCGTAGTAAAATCTGGTGTAATGACGGGTCTGGTGATTAATACTCGTGTAAACAATAAATTTTAATGAATGTTCCGTTGTGTGAATGTTCTATTTCTACATAAATGATATCAAAGCAGACGGTTCTCACATAAATTCACTAATTATTCCACGTGCACATATTTACAAAATCGCAATGGCGTTCCAACGTAAGTACAACACGCAGGCGTGAGAAATTATCTTGAATTTTCGTGCCTAGATTAAATACATCAACTAATTATTGTGATAAATTATATTTGGTAATAAATAACTAGAAAATATTTCCTAAACCGGTAAAAAATTAACTCAAAATGTTTAGTAACGTAATTTTTCCGGTGTGGTAACATTTTCTGACAGTATTTAGGAGGGAAAGTGAATTGTATGTAATTTATCTGTATTTTCTATTCATACGTAGGTATGACGCAATTGTTGAGTGAGTAATGCTCGAGATTTGTGTCCCTGACGTAATTTATACAGAACATACTCTGTGCGTTGTGGCCGTCTGATAGCCATTCTCTGAATGTTGTTATGCCAACACTGATTAAGAGGGACTACTGTCGTGAATTGAACTTTACTGCTTTTTATTAACGTTTTTACTACACCACGTTCCATACATACATACAAACATAACTTGACGCCCGTGTCTCATGCGGTTAGGCAGAGACTACGGAACGCCAATTGCTACGATTCTTACATACCTCTTTCGCTTCATCAACAGTCATCAGTAATCACCACGTTCCAATCAACATAATACTATGGGGTATATTTTAAAAAAACCTCAGGGCGCTTTTGCCATTTCTGGATCACAATGCTTAGGTTTTGTAGTAAACATTTAAACATAAATAAACATAGGGTTCGCGCTTCACTTGGCTATATTTCTTATTCTGTGACTTCATGACTTGGGTCGTCTCGGCGATTGGCGGGGCACTCTCGTGCCCCCAGATGTGTTCAATGATCTGTTATAAAAATGTACCTATTTACTTAATATAAATAAACACGAGACACTTATATTAGAAACTACATACTACCTGTTTCTCTTTTTTGTGCATACATCTAAAAGCTATGGGAAAAAAGTAAACGACCTGGACGCCTGAACCTGAATAAATATTTCCATAAGGTACTTATGTATTCTTATTTATGAAACATTATACCTTTAACTTACAAATTCCGATTAGTTAGTAGGTACTTGATGTGATGATCAATACCTTACCGGAGGCCCAATTAAGGGAAAGGGGGGAGGGCCCCTTTCCCAATCTCTCCAATCCCTGAATCCCAAGATTCCTCAAATTCTCAATACCTAAAAGGCCGGTAACGCACTTGTAACGCCTCTGGTATTCCAGGTGTCCCTGGGCGACGCCGATAGCCTACCATCAGGTGATCCGTCGGCCCGTTTACCGGCTTGTCCCATTAAAACAAAAATCAATATATCTAGGTCAAATCCATAATGACTAAACCATGCGTGTAATCAGAATCACACAATGAAAGGTCATTAATGTCTTACGATAACCTTGTATAATTACATTGTTATTATTTCTTTGAAGCAAGGAATATGTTGAAATTGTTAGTTTATAATAGTCCGTTCGCTATTCTTATCTTTTGAAGAGTATTCTCGGAAACCGTATCTCCTGCACTCGAAAACAATTTAAAATCTCGTGCCAAGTGATGCTGTGGCTTTTCCAAACTTTTTTAATGTTTACGATCTGTTTTATCGCTTAAACAAAAGTAAATTATGTTCATTCGCTTCAATTGTTTGTTTATCACTCTTTGTAATGTTTATTTACTGTTTAATTATGTAAGTACGTATTTCATAAAGGCAATTGTATTGCAATAAACCTTTTAGGTAAAAAGGAATGAGTAATGGAATGATTCAGTCAATAGGTCGTAAGTTATTTGTGACAACATTATTATGTTTTTATTAATAGGAATTATTTAATTAATTAATCATCAATTAATTAAATAGGTTAAAACTCTTCTCTCTTTGACTAAATATGGGTAATTTATTTAAATTAAATATGATGCTACTTAAACTACTGAACCGTGAAAAATATGGTTTCATTCATAACATTGTTTTCATACAAAGCTATATTTATTTTATTAATGGTTTTGATTTTAGTTTTAAATAATAGTATTTACTTTAGTATACCTATTCAATATTCTTTCCTTAATTAATTAGACAAGTCATTTTGAACCGGGATGCACCGTGTGTGAGATAAACATGGCGGCTTGTCAATTTTAATGGCGGATGATTCATGTATTGTTTTTAACTTTTGCAGGTACGTACAAAGGACGAGATGGGCGGGTATTGGGAGCTATATCGTATATGGTAACGTAAGTAGGTACCTACAATTGAAATGTCTTTCAGTGTTTAAAAAAACTTCTCATTGTTACGCGCGGGCGCATCATGCTCCGCTCATGTTTTCCTGTGTCGCTCACAATGCTACAAACAACTATCGGACATTACTTCTATATGTGAGTCGATACAATCAACATTGCGTGCTTATCGAGCTCTCTACATTACAAATTACACACGTTCGCAATTATACTTGAAACCCTCTGATTGATATCTCTCATTGTGTCTAAGCTTATACTGTAATCACTGGGATCCTCAATAACAACCTGCCTTCAAAACAAACTGAAGAGCGACACGACATGCGAAAATATAACTGTGTTCTTTTTTAGAGGAAATCTGTCCTTTTCGCTATATGTTTAAAGTTCATATTTAATACACAATGCCCAACGTTCGTATTTGCAACGCACATAACGTAATACTTACACACACATACAAACATAATATCACTGTTATTCAGTTATTCTACGAAAGACGAAGGCAGACAAAACATTCATTTTTCTCCCTACACTTAATCAATTAGGTTTTGGTCCAATGGATCTGAAACTTATCGTCTTTGTTACACAAGAAACGCATCCAGGCTTTGGAAATTATACTAATGAAAATACTGAACAAAAACAAATAATACTGTCCTTAACTGCAGTACCATATTATTCCTAAGGCAAACTGGGTGCTATCCTATAAAAAAATAAATAAAATGACTTGCCGATAGAGAGACGGCGCCCAAAAACATAATTAGGGGCGCCTATGAAAAGATTTCGTAGGACGCTCTTTATTAGTCCCTCTCTGCTCAACCGAAGCATATCGAGTTCAGAATCCCATTCACTGCGCCAGCGCCAGCGCCCTATCGCGAAGCATTTTGTAAATACATGTTTGTTTAACAGAAGGTCCTATTATCATATTTTATCATAATTATTTATATCTAGTGCATTTAACTATTTGCGATGCGTAGTTACGACATGTGTACGCCACGTGTCAATGGACAGCAATTAATTCATTAATAAAAGAAAAATAGTAAATACGCCATATCAAATAAATTCAAAGTCAAAGCATTTATTTCAATTAAACCATAATTTAGTACTTTTGAAACGTCAACAAATACAAAATAAATAATAGTCTGTCAGTCAGTCCGTCAGTGAAGCTAGGTGAAGCTAGGTGCTCATGACAAAATGTAGATTCGAATGGAGAAGAACGAGCAAGAAACTCCATTCGTTATTCTTTTGAAAAAAATCTGTGTAAGTATGTTATCTCTGGACTGGTTTAGAATTTACATGTGTGCATAGAATATTACAATGAGAACTAAATATTACTTGAAGTACCAGTATAGCATAGCTCTATTTAAAAAAAATATTAGTGGGAGCGCGACAGCGACCAGAGCCAAGTCGAAAAAGATATTCTCCATAAAAATTGTTAATTTGCATTTATAATGCCCACTATGTTTATTTTAAAAACATCCACTAAGTTACTTGACTCAAAAATAAGCAATGACCTCATAATCGTTAGAAATAATAAACTTTGACATTTAATTAAATAAAAAGTATTGAATATGTCTAGTTGCCTTCCCTATTGCGTAATAGATAATTTCGAATGCTTGCATATGTATGATGTGTCATCTGTGTCATCCAAATAAACAAAGTTCAAGCACCGAAACTAAAAGTTCGTTGTGTCCCCAATTATGTTATCTCGTGTGCCGACGATAGACAGATGGATCTCTGTTAATTAAAAGTTTAAGGCGTTAAGATTTAATTAGATTTCGAGCTTTAACTTCTGAAACACTGCTGGTCCCATAAATTGTTATTTTAAGAACATTAATAAACCTTCTTAATAACGTCCTAGGGATGTAGCACATCGTTATTATACATGATTTTCCCTATGGGACAAAAAAGCTGACTGTAATCCCTTATTGTACCATGAGAAAGATGGCAAAACCGACCGCTTTTTTATAATCGTTACTCGTGTTTGCCTACGGTTTATGGTGCATTTTATTATTAAAAGTTTCATTAATATGCTGTTAATACAGCAGACATTAAATCTGAAATGAATCCCACAGGACCTCGGGATAATTCACTTACCATTATGCATAAAGTATTTAAATGAGAGTTTGATGAGTCCGCGACTTGTTGTCGGCTGTCGGCGCCAGACTTCATTGTAAGTTTTATTAACCTTGTTCGGTGAGTGAACGAACGATCATTTATTAGTATCCATCCAGTGATTGTTAGCAGTTGCCAGCCCACATGATTATTAACAAGTCATGCCTTCTCTGGCTCATTCACTGTGAAATTATCACGACCGTCGACTGCACTCGAAAGGTATTACCAAATTAGCACGTCTATAAC